TTGCATACCCCAGAGAGTTTACTTTCTGTATTGAGCAAATTTGCTGAAATCTGGTTGAAATCTTTGGAGCTTTCTCCGTGGGAGTATTTGGCTGCCTGTGGCTAGGATGAATCAACAGGATCATCTTCTGGATGGCATATTTGTATTGCTCTGAAGACATGCAAAGTCTAATAAGGTTTTAATGAGCTTCTCCAGGGCTACTGAAATACAGAAAAGATTCTCATTAGATGTAATGCAATCAGTTATTCAGTGGCATCAAGGTTTTCTAAAAATAATCCTATAATACTTTCTAACAAGTACAGATACCATTTCTTGGCAGCAAGGAAAGGCCAATGTCCCCTGACTTCTTTTTTTTTAATAATACTTTTATTAAACATTATAATTAAACAGATAAAAACTAATACAAACTACAAAAACTAAAAGAAAAAAAGAAAAAAAGAAAAAAGCAAAAGTGCAGAAAAAGAGAAAAATATACAGAAAAATAAAAAAGAAAGAGTAAAAATATAGCAAAGAAGAAGAAAAGAAATATATAAGGAAGTGACTTTCCCCTTCATCACAACAAGTATAAACAATTTTAGCAGCTTATCACCTTCTCTTAAAATACAATAACCTCCTTGTCTCATATCTCATCTTTTATCTATAAACAGATCCTTACAACCTCGTGATTCAGTCCTGGTCAGCAAAAGTCCATTAAGGGTTATCAGAAATAACAACATATCTATTTTAACCTTGATTAAATAAACCTATTTTAACTTCCTTCCTTTTACTTTTAACAATCTTGATCTTTAATCCCTTCAAACAATGTCCTAGAGCTTGTTTTCATTTTTTCTTTGTTCCTTCTCACAAAATCTTTCAGAATTTTAACAGATCTCTTTTGTAAATCCAATATAAGAAAGTTATCCAGGTCACTCTTTTAGTTTATTATTTGTATATCTTTTTTAATTATTAAGACATCAGCCAGTTTCATTTGTATATCCAATGTAACGTATTTTTCCATATCGTTCTTGTAACCTGTCATTTGTAAATCCACTTTCAGATCAGTCTCAGTCTTGTCTGGTAAAACTTATTCCTCTTCCGTAGCATCTTTTAAAAGCTGTTTATCTATAATGGCAGACACTCTTAAAATTAACATGCTGGATCCATCACTCACAAATATCCTCAAATACGTGTAATGTTAAAATGTTTTGCTCCATTCTATGTTAATAAGTCAAATTTAAATGTTCTTCTCCTTTAATTGAAAATTTTCCTTGCTTCTGGTTCCCTCTAGCACCCAACCTTCAAATTTCCATCCTATCATGTTTTCTTTTAAGAATTCAAAACAACAGCATTTTCCCATGGGAAGGATTCTTACAATTAATTTCAAAATCTTATTTCAAATCCATCTGGACCCTTAGTCCAATTATAACTTTCCAAAATCAACGTTCTAATCACCCTTTTGCTGTTTATTCCAAAAAAAGTTTAAAAAAGTTTTTTTTCTTAAACTTATCTTTAAAACTTCTTTTGCTAAGGATTAAAGGAAACTCACCCAGTGCGTGTTATAAGACTTGTTGATTGGAAGGTTAGCACTTAATAAGTAATTTCCAAAAGTCATTAAGAAACGAGGCTGGGCAGAATTTTGTACCGTAAGGCTACCTTGTGGCTGTGAGCCTGGTGAAAATCCCTCAACTCCCAACTGCTCAACTCATGAGCCAACCACAAAAAACTCAGTTCCTGCAGTTTACTCATGAGGAGCAGCTGTTGGGAGTACAAGCGGGCAATCTCACGATCTCTCCTTTGTCTGGAGAGGCTTGGCCAGCCAGAAAATGTCATCTGGCAGCCGGTCTTGCCTCGATGCCATCTCCAGCCCCTCGGAGGCGTCTAGTTCACCATAAATCCTCACCGGAAGTCCTGACTTCTAAGTGACAAAGCCTAACAGGTTTTATGTACTTTGAGGCTGCGTTGGAATAGTTTATTTGAACACCCATGCAGGAAGGATGTTTTAAGCCTGTCTTGCTGGGGACAAGATGAAAGCAATGTCACAAGGACACAGCAGAATGTCAAGGCCTGGTTGTGCAAATGGGGAAGCCTAGTTTTCCTCAGGGTGGGGAACACAGCCAGAAAGGCAGAAACTTACAGTTCCTCAGCCAGAGATAGGGGCACCCGCAGGATATGGTCAAGAAAGTTAAGATGACAGCCAAGACAGAGTGATTGAAGTTTCACCTGTTTTTTAATGTGTGTCACACATAAAAAAAAACAGGTGGTGTTTTGATCACACCATTGTGGCTGCCATCTTGATTTTCTTGATGACACCCCATGGACACCTCTGGCCAGAGACAGTTTGGTCCAAATGAGCAGATATGTCCCAATTTCTGTTTGTTTAACCATGGCTATTGACTAAACTGCAGTTGGCTGGGATTGCACAATGCATGAAGCCATAAACCGTAAACCACAGTTTATAGAGTACTAGTGCCAAACAGTGTGCGCTTACAGTTCCTTCAAGGTTTTGAAGCTTGAATAAACACTCCGTTCTGAGGAGTTCAATTTTAAAAAGTCAGTGAGGCCAAATTTAAAACACCTCCAGGTTGCTGAGATAAACCAAAGTCACATTTTTACAGTGCTGCACAGAACTGAGAGCCGAGAAAACAGGCAGAAAGAAAGCAGCAAATCTCCTAGAGCAGGGTTCCTCAACCTTGGAGACTTGAAGATGTGTGGACTTCAATTCCCAAAGCTCCCCCACCACCCTCCTTGGTGAGAATAGTTTTTGTGCAACGG